TATGCAAGATACAACCCAGTGCATTAAAAAAAAAAGGCACAGAGCAGTCTTTCCAGATAAATTAAAGCAATTGCAAAAAAAAAAAATTATGCTTATGAAACATCACTGAGAGCTTTCACTTCCCTGTTCTTAGCACAGCTTCTCTGAGAAAGAGACTTTAAAATAAAACTTGAAGGAAAATATTTGACAGAGGGGTACTGGGCTCCAGAATAACATGATTTGCTGTTTTTAAGGAATTACAATCTCTCCCTTTCCATATTCTTCAGCAAGCAAACAGCTACTGGATTTTATCCTGGACTCTGTCCTTATCTACCTTTTAACTACCAAATTTCTTAAGGTATAAAAAAAATTGCTCATTAAAACTACACAGTATAAAACAGTGACAAATTGACCACCTACGTTTTCTTTTTGTAAAGCATTCAGCAGCATGGCAAAAGTTTCTCCTTAACATTGATGGCTTTTCCACTCTTCAGGACTAGCCAGAAGCATCCCCACAGTGACTACAGGGAGCAGCACAAAGGCAGCTTGTGCTCAAGCCCGCTTCAAAGAGTGGGACAAACAAAGGCTCAGCCTGGTGCTAAGTGACATCACTACAACGGAGCACCAAGCCACAGGACAGCCTCCTTTCTTCTGGGGAGGAACATTAAATCCAAGGATGCCCATGCCAAGTGCTCTTTCCTCAAGAGCAAAGTTCCAGGTTGGAGAGCCAAGGCTACTTTCCCCAGCGTCATAATAATAAGCACTGCACAATATGTGGATTGGGAAGATTTTCAGAGGTTGCAAGAGAATTCAACCTTTTCTTATGCTGGTTCCCCAAATGCTGTCTCTTCTGTTATTCTCATGTGCTGCATTTTAATTGGCTTCTCCATTCCTGAATTAAACTCCTTTAGCAAAGCTCCACAGAGTGCTAGCTTGTTAACGGACTGTCGGAACAGAGCAATTTCAAAAGCTATCTTTGAAACATATTATTCAACTGAGAAAAGTCTCATTTTACTATTTTACTGTTACTCAGCTTTCAAAAGGCAGGATAAGGGGGTTAGTACTTTACTATGTGAGAAACCAGTCAGACGGACACAGCTTTGGTATAGTTTCTCTTGGAGGTACAGACCCAGCAGGCAAATGAGGTTTTTGTGGTTATTGCACCTTTTGGTCAAATTTGGCTGCCTGGACTTTAGGAACCACAAAGCAGAGACTGATCTGCTGCCAAGAAGGGAACGTTTCAAAGTGAAATTATCCAAATCATGTGCCTGCATCACTTTATGGCTACTTGGAGGGCCCATAAACGTCTCTGCACTGCAGGAACAAGAACTGCCTGTGCTACCCCCGGGCAGGAGCAGCACTGCCACTCCTCCCATCCAGCCAACACGTGCAACAGTTTTGTGTCAGAAAATAACATATATATATATATGCATTTATGACAGTCTCCTCCAGTGGCTGGTTCACCAGGAGAGCAGAACTGACTCCTCCAGGTCACAGGACAAAGGGGTGTTAAATCCAAGTGTAAAACCTCTCACCAATCCAGATGGAGATCTTTCCAGTTACCCAGTGCAGAGCTGGTCTCTTGTGAGCGTTACCTCTCGCTCAGCATTAAAGGGAAGGACACGTTTGTTCCCCTCACTTGGAATTAAAGGGAAGGACACCTTCTCTTCTACATCTACCACACAGGAGCCTGCGTATCACAGCATGATACACAACACAGCTCCATTCTGCACTGCAGCTGTTTTGTCACATTTGATGTCTTGAGTCACTCAGCAGCATTTCTGAGGGTAGTTACGACAAACTCCCTGGCACACTTATCTCCCACTGAACACAGGGGGAAGCAATCACTTCACATCTCAGCAAGTGGAACATCTTTTGTTCTCCACTTACACAAGCTTTTATTGTTTCTCTGGATACCCACAGTCAGGTTTTCTGCCCAAGAGCAGAATCATATGCGAACTTCCAAACACCCTTCTCCATTCTGGCAGAGACACACCGAGACATCTTAAGTGCAACCCACCCCGACCTGTCTTCTTCCACAGTAAATGTGACAGCGCAGACGACTTGGCAGTGGCTCTCCATCCCCCCGAGATAAGGGCTCAGCAGGAGCACCATTCCCCTTCTGTTGGAGCTAAGTGTATATATTAATCCATCTACATTCATGGAAGAGGTTTATAAGCCATCTAGATCATGCTACTCTATAGCTATAGTTACATTTTAGACAGCAAAAGCAATAAGCAAGCCTTCAAAAAGTTGTTGCAGCAGCATATCATTTTAGCAGAACCTTTTGATGCCAGTCAGAAATATTGTTTAATGCATACTTTCAGGGGAATAGTCTTTCCTGAAAGACAGATTGTTTGGCTGAACAGAAGTTCTGTAAAACTCATTTGCAGCTTGGCATTTTGCACACAAGGTAAGGTCAGTAAAAACTGCTCTCAGATGCCAGCAAGGACAGCCACCCGCTGCTTTCCAGCCAGCGCACGTATTCTGAAGGAGCAGGGCGTAAGGGCTCACCTAGCAGGGGTGGGAGGGAAGCTACTGGACAGAGCAGCCCAACCACTCCTTTGTAACTCTGCTGATAAACTCCACACCTGGCCAGCATGTGCCCACGGACGAGGTGGCAGCACTATGGCAGAACAGGTACTGCTATTGCTACGCTGTCAGCTTCTCCTGCAAACAAGCCCTAAAATGAAATTTCTAGGTACATTAGGCTTGCAACACAAAGAAGGGAAGCTTTAGACTAAACTCCCTTCAAAGTGTTCCCACCACTGCCGGTGGCACGGCCACATCCTGCTGCCAGGGCAAGGGCACAGCACTGCTCTCCTCCACCAGCTGTTCCCTCAAACAATGGCAGTTAATTAAAATTTAGAATAAAACAACTTTGAAAGTATATGAAGATGGCATTTACACTGAAAGGCAGCAGGCTGAAAGTGAAAAACAGATACCTTCCAAGAATGAAAGATATTCATTGGTCAGACAGTAACTCTGTGGAGCTGAGCTAGCTTGACACACCCCAGTCTATGGGGCAGTTGCTCATCACATTCAGAGTCCCTAAGTCTTTAAAAAAAGTGAGAAAAACGTATTTGAGCAAGAGTCAGAAACTACTGTTACTCTTGTTTGATAACTCTTATTCCTGAGTGATCTAAATCCACCAAGTTGTGGACAGCACTCCCGACGAGCCTACGAGACACGTGGACTCGGATTATCAAACACAGTGATACCAAGAGAGCAGAACAACATGAACGAACGTGCGTCTGCTCCTGGGCAGCTGCTGAGGTCACACACAGGAGCCTGCTGATGCCTCCAAGTGTCCTCCAGTGCACAGGAGGAAGATTTGAAGGTTATTCCTAGTGGCATGTTCCTTCAACAATACCTGCAGAAGTTTGCTCCTTGGCATTTAGCAGGCACAAAACTCTCACGCAAAAACAATGGCAAGAGGACAAGGTCACCGAGATGTATCCCGGAGTACAGGGAATGAACTCCTGCTGCTCTTTGTAAACATGCTACCTCTTGGTATTCCATTGGGGAGTAGAATAATGACCTTTACTGCATTTTGGTGAAGATAGGCCATTCCCATTTAAGATGATCTTCCCAGAGATTAGCGTTAGTCTGGAGTGACACCAGATTAAGAGCTGCTGGGTTTCTATAAGGAAGAGGTGGCAGGATCAGATCAGTTTTGTTGTCACTGTCAATTTTCCGTTGGCCCGTTGTTTGCTCTTTACACACACAAGCAGATTTTCATTCAAAATACCTGTTTATATTCACTGCTGTTATATTGAAAAGAAAAAACCTCCTGGTTTCAAGCAACAGG